ACACACACACACCTACACACACTGTGAATAACCCTAATAAACACAGAGACATACTGTATTATCTTTCTCACCTTTCAGGCCTCTGGGTGAGGATGACATTCTGATTGACCCGTCTGAGTTACTGGGTCGACGACTGGACTTCCAGCTGGTCCTGGAGCAGTGTTGTGGCCTCCGCTGGATCAGAGAGGCCCGCAATAGAGGGGTCCAAATTGGGTGAGGCATATGGGGCTACATGTAGAGCCAAGGTGGACACTAAGGAGAGTTTGAAGGGCAGGGAGGATTCAGAGAATTCCTACAATAAATGATATTCCAGGAACTGGAAGTCAAGACAGCAGAACATGCACATTCTGAAGAAACTATATTGGAGACAAAACATTATTTAAGTTAGTGGTTGCAGAAGATGTGGGTAACATCAACAAAAAAGACATAATTCTGATGTAATTTGGCATTTTCTGAACGATACATCTTGATAGGAAGTGTCATGATAGATGGGGAATATTACTGTCTTCTGGATTCCAGAAGTAAGATACTGTACTCGTTCTCCTCTGTTCTTTTTTCCTCTTCCCCCACTCTTTCAGTTTCAGGTTGTTTGACTGCAGACAGTCTCTCTACACTCCAGCTGTGTGGCACAACGTCAATCCTCTGTTGGATCACAGAGTTCATTTTGCCTCCCTCCAGACCTCCCAACGTCTGCTCGACTACCTGCAGAGCAGTGCTGTAGTGCTGGAGCTCTGGGGGCTTCAGGGTGAAGATGCAGAGATCAATGGATGCTTTTACTGTATTTTTGGCAAAAAAACAAAACGAAAACAAACACATTTTGGAAGTGAACTATGCAGGCTTTATTTCACCTAAGCAGCCCAATGCCTCCATTTCATGTTATTACTATGTTATATTTGGCTGTCAATCAAAGACAGTCATTAAAGCTACTCATAGATGTTGGTTTTCTGTTTCAGAGGGTTGTACTGACTTGTTATCATCTCTGGAGGGAGTGAGGATGACTACGGAAGGCGTCTTTATTATCGAGGAGGCTGGCTCAACAGACAGTGGGGTGAGACAGTGATGTTAGTCTGTATTCCTGCATCAGGAATCATACACAAGTATGGAAAAGATACATGTGCAACCTATTACATAATGAATTTACTTTACTGTAAGGTAAGTTGTAAGACAGTAGAATTGTAAAATCATAGATCATACAATAGACTTAACTAACTGTAGTATTTGTTTCTTCATACTTTTGACTTAATGAAAAGTTACAAGCAATTATAGTGCACAGGCATGGTATCATCTCTTATTCAAACAACAATTTATGAGCCAAAGAATCACAGTGTTTATATAAATGTGTGGTTGTGTTGCAGCCTGTAGACTCTGCAGACCTCAGCTGTTCAGTGAGAGCACTTCAACATGACTTGGAGGAACTCAAAAGTGTTAATGCTTCACTGAGAAAAGAAAATCATAGTCTGAGAGAACAACTCAACACAGCCAGGAACGGTAAATGAAATAAACTTTTTACATCACGTCTATTTTTTACCGTTGCAGAGTAATTTACCGACAGGATTTAACAGTAGTTTCATACTACAGCATTCCCATTCATGACATTTTAATGACGTCAGTGATAAAGGATGTGTTCTTTCTCACACACACCTTCCTCCCTCTGTGTGTTAGGTGGAGAGAGTGCGCGTGGCCGATCAATGCGTCCCAGCTGTGATGCAGAATTTGCTCGTTCTCTCAAGGTTTTCTACCACAGCATGACCTCAGTCAGGGGTCAGCTGCAGCGCCTGCGCAGACACAGGCCCAGTGTACGTATCCACGTCTGTCTGCAGCATTAGCATTAGTGAGCATTACTACAATACGGCCTTGTGATCAAACTTAATCAACAGTAGATCTATAGAGAACAATACACAATCAGTCACATAATTTAACTGGCATTCAAGAAAGGCTTTAGTAAGATTAGAGAGAAGTTGGAGGATTTTAATGATTTGCCTACTTGGGTTGCTTAAATCTAAGATTTTCTTGGAATGTGACAAAAAAAAAGAAATTTCAATCTAGACATTTCAGGAAATGTACAAATTTTACAAGAGTTCATTAAAAGTTTTTGTTTGATATAATCATTATATTATTTCATTTTTAACCTTGTAAGTCATTTTCACAACAGCAAGACCAGCTGGAAAACAAAGATCTGCATACCAGACATGAAAGGCATTTTTAGGTCATGGAATTTACAATCAGTGCTGCAACTAGACACCTGCTGTTTTTGTAATTATTTCTTTTGGTTTACTATCTGGAAAAGAGTAGAATGAGGAGTCAGTTGCTAGTATTAAGCCCTCGAGGATACCGCACATGTGTATGGTTAACTGTTGAGGTTATGTGTTTCTGTTTCCAGGAGGACTCTGACCTGCTCGGGCTCAGGCTGTTTGTGGACGAGCAGAGTCGCCTGCTGAGGGGCTTCTCGGAGCAGCTGGAACAAAGCGTTTCCACGCTCAAACAAGACGTGGCCGCCATCGTCCGCCGGAAACGAGAACGATCGGGAATCTGGTCCTGACTGAGTAACCGTTTACCAATTTTCACAAAGGATTAAGAAGGCGAATGGCTGGTCCTGGTGGAGAAGGCTTAAGATACTGCCATTTATAAGTAGCTGTTTCCAAAGTTTGAATTATTGCTTTCTATAATCGTGCTGATTCTAACCTGTGGTCACTAAACTGAACTTTTACATGTTGATGTTTGCAAGAGCCACTGCAGCTACAAATGAATCATTTAATGAAGCAGATGCAGTTAATTTTTCTGTAAAAGGGGATGGTAGTCAGATGCCGTAACCACTACAGCATCACCTGGGGTGGTAGGAAGATTAGTCAGAAAGAATACAGAATAACAGTGTGAACAGAATAGCAAAATCACTGAAGTCTATAAAAAGTTTATTAGACTGCATGTAAAAGAAATAATTACAGTTCCAAACTGCAAATAAATTAAAAGGCAAATACAACTCAAGTTTCAGAATTCACAATATTATTATATTTTTGTACCATCATTGATAATGTGGCATATTTTCAAGCTACTGCAGTTCACTCTAAAGCTGTATCACAGTATGAAATCAGAAACCTTCTTCCTCATGTCTCACTGTGGGGGACTAATACTAATCATTACAGACTTAGGTGAACTAACAAGAATGAGATATTTAACAGCTGAAAAGGAGAGATCAATGACAGTGTTTACCGCATCTCTCGTTGTAATGTCAGAATCAGAGGTAAAAGCACAACGGTTAATGTTTGTAAGAAGTCGTGAATTGTACAGAGTAGAGAACAGACAGTTGCTGTAGGTCCAAAAAAAGATCAGTGTGGGCACATTTACAGGAGGAGAGGCAGAAGGCAGATGTGAGGCAGATTAGTCATCAGATAGGACGGAAAATCTATATACAACAGATATGTAGGCAGACAAGTTGACAGTAAGGAGGTGGTCATGATGAGAAATATAACACAGGTGTAGACAGAGAGGCAGCTGGGAAAGGCAGAGAGTCACCTAGGTACATCTGAACTGAAGAGGTAGACTAGAAAAACACAAAGAAAACTGCGGGAAGGACAGACGGACAGCCACAGATATCCTACTGTTATGTAAGATGTGTGGGCATGCTTGTCATTTTAACTCAAAGTAAATTAAAGTATGTTTTACTTGATTTTGTTTGTGACTGTTTTTCTCTACAAAAAGCACCCAGTTTGTGTGTGTGAGAGTGTGAGAGTGAGTGAGTGAGTGAGTGATTGTGTGTGTGTGTGAGAGCAAGAGGAGGAGGCTAAGGGTGCAGGTGAGGTAGGTTAATTGGGTCTTCAGGGATTGGGTACAAAGCACAAACTATAGAAAAAAACATTTACAATACACCCTTCCTGTAACCTTTACTTAAACATAAAATAATGTTAGAGAAAATGTAGCAATACACAATCAGCGAACATTAGTTTTTCTACAGTCTCACTGCCAATTGTCTGCACCTCTTTGGGTAATTTGGAGTTCTAGGTCTGAACAACACAATAAAAAAAACATGAGCAAAGAGCATGTACAGTAGCTGTTTAGGTACATATCAAGTACAGTGGTGACAATTACATTAGAAAAAAAAGCACTTCCCCTCAAGAAACAACCATTGAGCCTTGTGTATGTGACAGATTTCAGAATAGGAGCACTGTTTTCATTTTTAAATTGTAACCCAGTCTATGCAGCAGCAAGGCTTCAATGCAGTGATGGATGTGTACCTGAATTTGGGTTACAATGCTCTGGTTATCAACTTACGTTTATCAGTGCTCTTATGCTGTTTATTTTTTGGATTCTATGACACAGATTGGTTGGCTGATAACTGACTGAACATGTAACTGGCTGAGTAAACACCCGCCCTTGTTTCTAAAGCTGCCTTTTCTCTCTGTATCAAGCTAATGCCTCTATGCAGAAAAAGTCAGTGCTAAAATGATTTCGGGAGGCCAAAAAGCAGTTCGAGCTAGAATAAATGTGAGCATGTGTCTAAGTGCACACACATTATTCCAGCTCATTTCACCCGACAATGTCCATATTCTCCAGCTTTCTGACTCTGAAACAGGCTTTTTACATTCTGGCTTATACATCATCTTTCAGCTCCCTCCATCATGCTTGCGTTGTTCACAAATGGAGGGGAGAATTGAAGTTTAAAACAAATATGACTGCTGTCATGTCTGTGTCTCCATTTCTCACTCACTCATTCTCTCTCTCTCTC